TGTCGGCTTCGGTGGATCCGTGGGACCCACATTTATATGTCCCAAAAGAAAGTTTCGCGAGTTCCAACAGAAAAGAGAGAGAGAGATTAGTAATCCACTTAACGACGATGATTTGATTAAATTTTTTTGAATTAATACATTTGTCGTTAATCAGGGTGCCACGTGGACAAATCCCCGAGATTTAATTCTCACGCAGTCCGCATGCATGCATGTAAAGCGATCAAATGATAAGTCATTAAACAACTGTTTAATTTTATTTTAATATTAACATTATACTAATATTTTAAGTAATGTGTTGGTTTAGGAGTCGTCTTGGTTACATTAATAAAAAAAACGGGACATTCCTCAAAAGTTACAAAACACGACTGGAATGTTTCTTCTCTCTACCCTTTTGATGGATTCTGCTCTTTTTTTAAAAAAAAAAAATTCTGTTTGTATGGTATGCGTTCTTAAAATATGAAAAATCATTATAGGGGCTAACTAAGAATGCTTTCTACTTTATTGTATTATTATACACACATAAAATAATGTGAAAATATAAGTACTACTATTTTACTAGCTAGAACTATATAGGTAGTTGGTCTAAAGATTTATTTAGTAGTTTTTACACAAAATTTATAAGGCTTACATTTCAAACTTATTCGTAGTAAAATTGAGTTTCTAAAATGATTTAATTAATATGTTTTTGATTGAATTAGTATACAATGGCAGTATGACACAATGTACTTGAAAATTTTGTGGAAATTAATTTTTATATTTGTCATCTACAATTGCTCATTAAGATTGGAGTATTGCGTTTTTGTACCATGTGGCCACTTATATAGTTATATTCACACGAATTAGTTTGAATTTTAGAAGTCTATTTTACTATTTACACAATATAAGACGTGTAAACCAATGTACTGTTTTAGTTTATCTCACTTTTCTCAAATTAGCAAGGTTGCTTCCAAATGTCCCGTGCTTTTTTTGTTATACGGTTTTAAAAGTATATTAAAATTATAAATGTGACCGTACGAAATCCAGCTGTCATAGGTTAAGACCATATTTTTGTCTACGACTCCTGTAACCTCATGTTGTCCCCTCGAAAGCGTCTCTTCACGTATCCTAAAGAATTACGTTATGAAATATTGAAATTCTTCTGTTTTTGTGGTTTTAAAGTATAATCAGCTATGTATTTTGTATTTGGTTAATTAGTATGGTTTGATTCTACCAGAGGTCTAACTCTAGATTTACCTTAGAAAAAAAAAATTAAAAATAACACAAATTGTCTTAAGAAGCCCATTTATCAAAATGTAACAATTTTGGTGTTGGTAAGTCATAAATACTTTACTCTTTCAGTTTTGTTCATTTATGTACAAAACAAATGTTTGTTACTTTGATAAAGTAAATACACTAGAGATATCCGTATCACACATTTAATTCGTAGTTATTTGGATAATAGATGAATTAATAGCATAGTATATCAAAGAAGATCAAGTAGGAAGAGTGGAAAAAAGAGAAACAAATGTGGGAATGGTCCAACGTAAGTGAAAAGGGCAAAAGTGGAAAAAGGAAAAAATGTTGGACCAACTAGAGGAATGCCCCAAGATTGGGAGAGGTATCAATCATGATACAAAAAAAAACATAAGATTATGTGTATATATAAATATGATCAAAGGTGGTCACTTTGGTCCATGGTACATCTTTGCTAGCTTGACCAATTCTTCTAGGGCACAAATGCATATTGGATTTTGTTGTATCTTTACCCAACAAGTTTCTCTTTTATACTTATATTTTTCACTCTTACGTTTCCCAATTAAATGACTCCACTTTGAATCTTCCACTTATATCCTTTTGTCTTCAACACAACACAAAATTTTCAACTTTTTTCTTGTTCTTGTAGCCCAATCGCTTTGGAGCATAAAGAGGGAGACATTCCATCTTAATACGGATTGAAAAGAACAGTTTAAATCCTATGATTATTAAAATTAATCAAACTACACGAAAGATCCAATATCCCCTCACAAAACTATTTTGACGTTACAATTTAGCTAGACGCAAATATTCTAAGAACAATCACTACGTTTATTTTCCAAGTCTAACACCAAATGTACAATGAAATATAATCTTTGAAACTATTATATACCAAGTGTAACTAGTAACTCCTTACCGTTGCAATAACAAATACTATACCATTTTTATGGTTGCTAATTATAAAATCGGTACCACCATTTATCTCTTTTTTTTTTTGTCACTACTACCATTTATCTTTTATCCTTATTCGTACATTTTATAGTGATACTTTAGTGCATGACATAATAGTTGCGGACTGGTTTAACTAATAACAAAA